AATCCAAAGATCAAAATCCAAGAAAGAAGCAGAACCCCTTGGAGCCAGAGCCACTGAAGGGACTGAACCAACCATGCTTGAGGCTGTTAATGCACAGCCTGAGGCCCTAAACTCCCAAAGGGAGGGGCAGGGAGCTAGGGGCCAGGACTCTGTCCTGTGGGAGTTCCTGAAGGGCCAGGGGCTATTCTGCTTGGAGATGGAGCTAGGGTCATTGCAGCAAGAAGTGAATAGACATCTTCTGGGAAGTCCCTTCTGCACCCACATCTTGGCCCACATCCCCAATCAGAACACCTACTCTTTCTACGGGGACAGTAGGGGTGGCACCCTTTGGCAGCCTGGTTAGGCTCTTCCCTACCTTCGGGCCCGGCAGAGCTTCTCAAAGAGGTCCAATGTCTGTGTATAATTGGACACCAGCACTACTTTGTCACTGCCACGGCTTCGGGTCACCGCCAGAATGTAATCAAGGACCAGCATCTTACCTGGGGAAATCAGCAAACATTAGCCCCCAATGGGCCATCCCGATAGTTTAGGATTCTTACTCTTGATAACCTGCCTTGAGCAAGGATAGGCCTAGCACAAAGAGATAATCTCCCACCCCTCCTCCCAGAGGAGCCCAAAGACTGTAGGAAAGGGCTCACCTGACAGCTGGGGCTCTAGAGCCTTGGAGCTATAACCAGGGGGGAATGTGTCCAAGGCACCTTCAAAGCCATCTTCCTCCTCCACACACTTGTCATAGATTAGAGCTGGGTCTAAAAAAAAAAACACCAAATGCCAGCTACATTGCTTTTGGAAGTTTCCACTTCAATGCTCATTAGAACCCCATCTAGAAGCCTACCCAGAAGACTTTCCTCAGCCCAGACTTGCTTGGTCCAAAATTCCAGCCTGCAGTCAGTACCATCTGGGACCATGAGTGGACAATCTTGTTCACTAGTGTGTTCTCCCAACAAGAAGGGAGCTCTACCAGAGAGGGCAAGGTTTGTTATTTTTCCTCCTGTTCAACATTTTATATGCACATGTGCATGCACATGCACACACACACACACAGTCCTACATACCCCAAGCATCAAGCATGGGCTGGGCAGAGGTTAAGCTAAATTTTCCAAAGTAAAGGGTCTGCTTTACAGTGTACACAATGCAGGGCTCATGTCTTGGGGTGGGCTGGAATCACATGTGGCCTCTATGAGGACTCTGGACGAGTTTTAGTAAAGGTGGCTGGACCACCTGTAGGAGCCTAGCCTTCCTTGCTCGCTCTCACAGAGGACCCCAGGGCACAGACTGAACTCACGATTACATAGCTTCTTTAGCGAGGTGATGGAAGAAAGAGAAGACACACTCATTTTGCCGTCACGCAACTCTTCTGCTGGCTTGGCCTGTCTCAGAAACCTCTTGTATAATTCAGTCTGAAGGGGTGTCAACCTGAAAAAATGGCAGCTGGGTCAGTGGGAAAGGCTGGACCACACTTGTACCCTTTGAGGACACCTTGAGAGCCCACTCCACACCCCTCGGTTGAGTTCAGTACCTACAACAAACCACCTGCTCAATCTTCACAGGAAGATATTTAGAAAGGATATCAGATGTCCTCCGTATCAGGCATCTGGGGAGAACAGGATAAAAAGGTAAGGGGCTGGTAAAACTGCCATGCTAACTACTGGAATACAAGCCACCACCCAGAGGACCAAGACTGACTCTCTTTCCTAGTATCAAATGTCAGAGACCCATTAGCCCTATGGCAAATATATCCAAGTCAAGGTCTCAGTCATGGGAACAGAATCCCTTTCAAACAGTCTAGCTTAGACTAACAACTCTTTCTCTTCCCCTTCAAAAGTTTAGCTAGTCTTCAAGAGAAGGTCGAGGTTTCCCATTGAGCCTGGTGCTCTGACAGGGAAAGCAAGCTGCAAACCACTTAGTCCTTAGGGGAGTTTCTGCTTGCATTTGCCCAAATGCCTGCTGCCACATGGCCCAAGGCTCAATGAAATTAAGCCCATACCTCCTGGCAGACTAGGAAGGACAGGGGATCAGGCACCTCAGAAGCAGCTCCTACGAACACACTCACTCTCCTTCCTGCCATCTAAAATTAGGAGGGAGAGGCAGTTGGGAAGGACAGGACTCTTTAGGATGTAAGCCATCAAGTGTATATACCTACAACAGAGGAGTGCAGAATGTACCTGCCCCCTGGGCTATGTGGCCCCCTTGGAGAAAGCTCTCTCAGCCGGGGAGCCACACTCATCCTTCAGATCTACTCCTACCTGTCACAGAAGACTATGGGGCCTGGGAAGGGAAGCCTGGTGCTTTAGGTCTGAGACTGAATGACAGGAAGCTTCTGAAGTACTAACAATGCTCCAAGGGATATTTTGCTCAGAAAGTCCGGCAGCATCAGAAAAGAGCTTCCTTGGCAGGTTGCTAGGCAGCCCAAAACCAGACCATAGGGCCCAAGACAGGAAGAAAGCAGGGACTTGGCATGCAAGACCCTTTCATTTATTTAGTGGCTATGGTCAGGGCACAAATCTCACTCCCTTCCTAGAACCATAGCCCTCATAGGCCAAGGCCCTAAAAGATTGGCCTTGGATGGCTTAGGAGGCAATTCTGATGACCTCACTTGGGGAGACCCAAAGAGAGGTGCTGCTGTCTAGCCCAGCCCCCACCCCGCCATTACCTATTCACAATGCTGGTAAGCTCCCGAAGTCGCTCCTCTCCTAGCTGTCTGTCTGCCTCACTGGCAGCTGCATCTCGACCCTTCAAAATTGGCAACTCAAAATGCTTTTTGAACTCGTGGGCAGTTCCTAAGCACAAGAGAGAAGGAGAAATCAAAGCACTAAAGAATGTGGGAAAGCAATGATTTTCTCACTGCCAGTAATGGCAAACTACTTTGTTACAGACCAATCCTCCTGCCAAGAACAACAAAACTGAACAAGTTACAGGCAATTTCTGTTTGAATAGTCCAGAGAGCTACCAAAGCAGTGAAGACTTGAATGGCCAAATATTGAGATAGTAGATTAAAACCCCAAAAAATATAACTAATTACATTAAATATAAATGGATCAAATAATCCAATTAAAAGGCAGCTGAATTGTCAGAGTGGATTTTTTTTAATGCCCACCTATATGCCGCTTATAAAAGATGAAGTAGCATGTATCAGTACTACAAGTACTGATACATGCTACAATGTGGATGACCCTTGAAAACATTATACTAAAGAAGCCAAACACAAAAGATCACATACTGTATGACTGCATTTATATGAAATACCCAGAACCGGCAAATCCATAGAAACAGAAAGCAGACTGGTGGTTACCAAACATTAGGGGTAAGGGGGAATAGGGAGTGACTGCTTAATGGGTATAGGGTTTTCTTTTGGCCAGGAATAAAAAAGGTCAGATATCTCACAAAAGAGGATCTCCAAATGGCCCATGAGCCTATTAAAAGGTGTTCAACTTTATTCAACATTAGATAAATGCAATGAGATATCACTAAACGCCAGAATGAGTAAAATAAAAAATTCTTTTAAAAAAGATAAATATTGGTGATGATATAGAGCAGAGTCAGCGAACTACAGCCGTGGGCCAGCCACCTGTTTCTGTGAATAAAGTTTTATTAGAACACAGCCATGCCCCTTCATTTACATATTATTTATGGCTACTTTCATGCTACAATAGCAGAGCTGAGTAGTGTGACAGAGACTATGGCCTGCAAGCCTAAAATGCTCTCTAGGTCTTTAAGAAAAAATTTGCTAGGGAGCCAGCCCCATGGCCGAGCAGTTCAAGTTCAGCATGCTCTGCTTCTGGGGCCCGGGTTCAGATCTGGGGTGCAGGGCTACTCCACTCATCAGCCATGGTGTGGATGCATCCCACATACAAAGTAAAGGAGGAAGACTGGAAGGGATGTTAGCTCAGGGCTAGTCTTCCTCAACCAAAAAAAAAAAAAAAAGGAAGATTCCCAGCACATGTCAGCTCAGGGAAAGTCTTCCTCACGAAAAAACAAAGAAAAAATTTGCTGACCTCGGATGTAGAGACACAGAATTCTCATGCGTTGCTGGTACAATCTCTTTGGAAAACTGGAGTATCTACTAGAGCTGAACACATGCGTAACTTATGACTCAGCAATTCTACTCCCGGACAGAGAAATGCATACTTAACCAAGAGAAATGCATACTATGCTCATGTAAAGACATGTACAAGAATATTCACAGCATCATTATTCAAAAGAATAAAAAACCAGAAACAACTCAATTGTCTATCAACAGTAGAATAAATAAATTCTGGTACATTCATAAATGTAAATGGAATAGTATACAAAAATGAAAATGAACAAACTACTGCTACATGCAACAACATGGATGAATCTCATAAATATAACATTGAACAAAAGAAACCAGATGCAAAGGAATACATTCCATTCACATAAAGTTCAAAAATAGGCAAAAACCAATCTTGAGTGTCAGGAGAGTGTTTACTTCTGGGGAAAAAGGAGAGTAGTAATTAAAAGGGGATGCTGCTGAGATGGGGGCAGCAATTGATCTGGTGGTGGCTACCCAAATGCATTCATTTTGTGAAAATCTTGCTGCTCAGCTGGTTCTCTGGCTAAAGTAATTTCCTGAGCACTGGCAAGTTGGGGTGGCACTAACAAACCCTTCCACAGATATTTACATGCAAGAGCTGCCCAAACTGTGGCTGCCAGGGGCTCAAGGGAGTGGGAAATGGGGAGTTATTGTTTTGTTTTATTTGGGGGGAGGAAGATCAGCCCTGAGCTAACATCCAATGCCAATCTTTCTTTTTTTTGCTGAGGAAGATTAGCCCTGAACTAACATCCGTGCCCATCTTCCTCTACTTTATATGGGACACTGCCACAGCATGGCTTGACAAGCAGTGCGTCAGTGTGCACCCGGGATCCGAACCTGTGAACCCTGGGCTGCCACAGCGGAGTGTGCACGCTTAACCACTTGCGCCACTGGGTGGCCCCAGCAATTATTGTTTAAAGGGTAGAGTTTCAGTTTTGCAAGATGAACAAAGTTCTGGAGATGGAGAGTGGTGATGGCTGCATAGCAAGGTAAACATACTTAATGACACTGAATTATACATTAAAAAATGGTTAAAAAAAAAAACAAACAGAAAACCGCCCAAGACAGAGTCTGGTCTGAGGCCAGAGCTCTTGTGGGGCAGCTAGGATGTAACGAGAAAAATCCCTGGGGGTAATGTTTCCACCTCCAGCTCATAGTGACACCATGCCCTGCAGAGCCCCTGCCACCTCTGCAGTGGCAAAATAGCCAGAGTAGGCCTTGCTGAGTTGCTCAGCAGAGCCAAGGTCACCCAATGGCTTTGCTACTCCCTGACAAGAGAAGTCTTCCTACAAGAGTGCCTAGTGGCCCACTAGCCTTCTCTCCTCACCTAGAGTTACATTCCCAAGGCCAAGGCAAGGCTCCTCTCCAATGTAGCAAACAAGGCTGGATTCTTACCCAGGATGCCTGAATTAACAAAATGCACCAAGCTGAAATACTCAAGGAGATCATTCTGGATGGGGGTCCCAGAGATGAGCACTCGTCGGCTGGTGTTCAAGCTGTCCAGGGCCTGGTAAGTTTGATTCTCAGAGTTCTTGAGCCTGTGTCCCTGCAGGGAAATTAATTCTCACTTAGGCTTGGGCACAATGTGACATCCCTAATGGTAGCAGTCTTATGTATACAGGAAAAGAGGAATCAGAAACGTTACAGGCCCTTGGGCCTTGGGAACTGGGCAGGGGGCATCGAGAGTAAGAGTGTACCCACATGCTTGCGGAGAAATGTCAGGCTCAAGAGACAGACCTTCAGTTTCCAGACCAGTGCTACATCCATAAAGCAAAGATTGTTTCCTCCTCTCATCATCCCTGCCCCAACCTCCAGAGTCTTAGCAGCCTGCCTATCCTCAGAGATCCTGCGGCCATGTTAGAGACCTGTGTTTTCAGGGAATCCTCCCCAGCCCACCAGCCCAACCAACTCAGAATCTCCTGAGCCAGATGCCTTCTGTATTAGTCTCAGGCCATGTCTGGGCTGTCAGTGCTAAAGGGACTTGGCCCAGGCTCCTCCTTCCCTCTTCCCACAGAATCCACACAGCTCATACACTAAACAAAGAGTCTCTCTGCTCCTTTTGCATCATTTCCCCAATCCCTACTCTCCCTGTTACCCATCCCCCGTACACACCTCCGTTACTTCTCTCTTTTAAGTCTTTTTCAAGAAAATAGTAAAGGACCCTATCAGCTTCCCTCTTTCCCCACATGGGCAAGATCAGGCCTGTGATCTATCTCCGGCTCCTATTCAGCCCCTCACTGGGCAAGGCATACAAAACACAACCACAAGTGAAAGAATGAACAAATAAGTCAGCCTTGCACAATACAATTAAACACAGACCCCTCCACTGACTCTCCTATCTATCGGATCAAGTCCAAGCTCACTAGCTTAGCATTTCTCAATAAGGCCCCAGCAAACTTCTCTGACCCTCTCCACAGCTTGTCACAGTCCAGGAAGCCATAACTCCTCACCACTCCTAACACTGCATTTCCTAGGTCTCTTCACCCATGCCACTCCTCTGCTCAGAATTCTCTTCCACAGGCAAATTCATCCAATGTCATCTCCTACGCAAAGCCTTCCTCAAGGACCCCAGGCTGGTGGTCTCTCTCACCTCTGTGCTCCTATGGCACTCTGTACATAATAGCTATTTACTGAATCCTTTTAATGTGCCAGGCACTGTACTAAGCTCTTTACCTATATTCTCTTCTATAATCCAGATAACAATCAGATGAGTGGAAATTATAACACCAATTTTAGAGAAACTGAGGTTCAGAGAGGTGAACAGTTATCCAAAATCAAGCTGGTAGGGCCGGCCCCGTGGCTTAGCCATTAGGTGCACGCGCTCTGCTGCTGGCGGCCCGGGTTTGGATCCCGGGTGCACACTGATGCGCCGCTTCTCCGGCCATGCTGAGGCCGCGTCCCACATACAGCAACTAGAAGGCTGTGCAGCTATGACATACAACTATCTACTGGGGCTTTGGGGGGAAAAAAATAAATAAATAAAATTATACAAAATCAAGCTGGTAGAAGGTAGCAGAACTTGGATTTGAACTCAGGTCTGTATGATTCCAAAGTCTGGGCACTGTGCTACTCTGCCTCTCATCTACCGCTCTGTAGACTAGAGTACTAATCACTCTCTACTATACTTTCTCTCCTCACCTGGGCAGGAACTTCTTTTCTTAAGGCAGAGACCATGTCAGATGTGCCTTTATAACTTCAGTGCATAGGACAGAGCCCCACAGAGAGCACTGTTCAGTGAATGCTTGCTGAATGAAAGAATGAATGAATAACCAACATTGCTATTAAAAAATTAGACATAGAATTTTAAATTTTAAAAAATGACTGGATGTTGTACACCTAAAACTAACACAGTGTTGTGTCAATTATCTTCAATTAAAAAAAAATTTTTAAGACATCCAAAAAAAAAAAAAAATTAAATTGAATTAAAAATGACTGGAGGCTCCAAGCACTAGCCCTGAAACAGAAGGCGGAGACTTTTGAGCTGAAGAGGAAAATGAAACGTGAAACTTATGAAGCAATTACCCAAAAGGCCCTAAGAAAACGGGCATCAACACTTGGCTCCCTCTAACTGAAGCTCCCTGAGGGCAGGCATCATAGGATCCTCAGGGCCTGACATATAACAGGCCCTTAATAAATAACCCAGTGAATGAACTGGGCTGGCACAGTATCCCTGTGGGTCTCTGTGGAAGAGAAAGCCAACCCCAGCTCCCTATGGGACCTCCCTGGCTCCAGACCCAGCTCCTGCCACCATCACCCATGAAATTAAAACCCAAACTCTGGCATGTCAGCAAATTAAACATTTGGCCCAATGAAGAGTGGTCAAAGCTCTTATTTATAAGCTGCTGCTGAATTTCTGTTCTAGCAGAGTTCTCAATTTATCCTTTTTCTTCTTTTCTTCTTCTTCTTCTTTTTTTTTTTTTTTTTTGCTGAGGAAGATTCGCCCTGAGCTAACATCTGTGCCAATCTTCCTCTATTTTGTATGGAGGTTGCCACCGCAGCATGGCTGACAAGTGGTGTAGGCCCACGCCCAGGATATGAACCCGTGAACCCAGGCCACCGAACCAGAGCATGCCGAACTCAACCACTAGGCCATGGGGCCAGCCCCACAATTTATTCTTTTTAAAAACAAAAAATGATACCAAGATTAAACACCACACTTCTCTCTCTGAAACATGAGTCCTATGAGTAGCATTTTTGTTTTTTTATGCATTTCCCCAGCATCTTTCATCTGACTTGTTTTGGGGTCTAGCACTTGTAAAGGAACATACATGGGTCTGGATGAGGCACACAAGGATAGTCCTTCCATACCTAAGCCAAGCTTCTTCCCACACCAAGCTTTGGGTTATATCCAAGGCAGTAAGAGATAGGAAAGAGAGCCAGGACTGGAAACCTCAGACCTGAATTCAAGTCCCAGTTCACTATGTACTCACTGGGTAGACCTGAGCAAGTCACTGCACTTCCCTGAGCTGGTGTCCTAATCTCCAAAACTGAGATGACGATGATGTCAATCCCTTCCCTATTCGTACATGTTACAAAAGGCTTCCATATATCCTCTCTCTTGATCCGGATCACGTCCTTTTCAGGTAGACCCTGTGCCATCTACCCTCTAGACAAGGAAACTGAGTTTCACAGCAGACTCATCTGCACAATCATGCTTACAAGCAGCACAGCCAGGGCTGATCCCAAGCCTTTTGACTTGCCCCGCCTAACTCAGATTACTGTGAGGATCAAGGATTTTGTACAGAGTTATTATGCATAACTGTGTGTTCCAGAGAGAACCATCAGCTGGGAGGAAGCGCTATGGGTTCGGGGAACATGAAAGCCTGGGGTGGCAACTTCCCTTTCCAGGGTCTGAACAGGACAAACTCTCTCCTCTTAGAGTAGGTTATCTTTCAGAGTTTTGGCTTCCTCAGGTCTCTGATAACTGACAAACTGCCGACAAATAAAAGGTAGATGAGTAGAAGGGAGGGTCAGGGGGCTGCAGTGTGGCAAGAAGCAGCCTTGCCCCTTGTGCCCTGCAGAGCCAGTTCAGGAAACAGGACAGAGTGAGGAAGAAAAGGAATGCTACAGAGCAGAAGAAAATTTAGATGTCCCTCAGTCCTCAAGGGCTTGACAGCTACAGCCTGCCTTCCTATTCAATGCCCTGGCCTCTGGACCAGGCTCCTGGCACAGTCCCCCTCCATGGTGATAAAGCAAATGCCAGGGCCCTGAGCTGCACAAGGTGGTCACACACATACCCCACCTCAACCTGCTAAATCCCTTACTCCTACCAGAAAGAACAGCCTATCAGGGTATCAGAAGTTGGCAGACATGCCATACAATGACTGATTCTTCTTAAGGACAAATAGCTCACAACTAGCAAGTAAGGCACCCCAAAGTAAGCTTTTCTTCTCTGTCCTCTCCCAAAAGACCCTCAGATACTGGGCTAATCTATAGTCCCCAGAGCACAGTCAAGCCTGTCAATCAGTTGACAGATAGGGCCAAATCTTTCAGCCACCTGGTCTCCACTAGAGCTCCAAGGATGTGCAAAGTGACCTTAACTCTCCCAAGAAATGCAAACAATGACAGCAGCCTCAGGGTAGGCAAGCTCCCTGGAGTCCTGGAAAATTCTTTACACTAGGAAGCTCCCAGCCACCATCACTCCTTTCTTTTTTTTTTTTATAATTCTATTTATTTATTTTACTTTTTCCCCCAAAGGCCCAGTAGATAGTTGTATGTCATAGCTGCACATCCTTCTAGTTGCTGTATGTGGGACGCGGCCTCGGCATGGCCGGAGAAGCGGTGCGTCAGTGTGCACCCGGGATCCGAACCCGGGCCACCAGCAGCGGAGCACGCGCACTCAACCACTAAGCCACGGGGCCGGCCCCACCATCACTCCTTTCCAAGCAGTAGCATGTCTACCACCATTCATGCATAGTGCTGGAAAAGGCCTGGAAGTACCTACTGCCATATTTCCCTTAGTCCTAGAGAATCAACACAGATTACTGTAAGGTATATGGATTGTCCACACTGGGCTTTCCTATCTCTGTGCTTCTGATCATGAGTCCCCCCCAACCCAGAATAAAAACCAGAGCTGACATTTACCAAAGTCTTATGACTATGATAAGAGCTTTCCCTCAATCACCTCATTTAATCCTCACAATAATCTCACGAGGCAGATATTATCACTCCATTTTACTGACACAAAAACAGAAGCTCAGGTGATTAAGTAACTTGTCCAAGGTCGTATTACCAGTAAGTGGTAGAGCAGGATTTGAATAAAGGTCTCTCTAACCCTAGACCCTGTTCCCCTAAACACTGTACCATGTCTCTCCACCCATCCAAATCTCTCCCACCCTTCAAAGTCCTTCTTAGATCTAGGAATACTGTCTGGAGGCAACAAAACCAATCAGTCCACAGCACCTCACCCACCTCCGAGTTCCAAGCACTGCTTACTCCCTCTTTTGGCAGACTGGTATCTTGGGATCTCCCTCTCAATTGCCTTCTGAGGCAACATGCTGTCCTCAGCATTTCCCAGTGACTGGCACAGCCCTTGGATGGCAGTGCTCAGTGAGGAGACTTTGACAGACTTTCTCCTACCACATAGACTGCTAAGAGTCAAGTACCTCGTCACATATGACCAGTCCAACACTGCCTTTCTGGAGGACTCCAACATGAAGGCGGAATGTCTCATAGGAAATGATGAGGATGGGAGAAGGCACTCTGGCTCCACGCTGGTTCATGAATCCTTCTACAACAGAAAAGTTGTCAAAGGGACAAATCTTAGAATATCTTAAAGAAAAAACCAGTTTCACAGCTCTTTAATTTAGCCTGGAAATAACTGACTATTTCAACTAGATTCCATGGGAATTCTCTTCTCTTCCACCCCTTCATTGCCCTCAACCCTGGCCATCCGCGAGTATACACATAAGAAAGGAGCAGGTTTTGTGGAAAAGTGCAACCATCTTTGTTAAGCCTCCGTACCCAGCTTTTGGTCTATCTCATCCTTAGAGCCTCCGTCGATGGCCAGAGGTTGGATCCTCCCTCCAAGCCACTTCCCAACTTCATTGTACCAGTTCTTCACTAGGCTGGAGGGCGACACCACCACTGCCTTGTCAATTTCTGGCTTGCACTCTGGACTCTGGCGCAAAAGCGTCCACATCAACGTAATGCACTGCA